AGAGGTCTGGTCATTCTCTTCAATATCTGGGTATATTATTTGTTATTACAGGGTTTTATAATTTTGGTTATTATTTTACAGTAGCCTACAGGTGAACTTAGGTTAATTATTCTGTACTTGTTTTAAAAGGGTCATTTCTAAATTATAACTCTGGCTCACTGGAATCAATAGGATAGTTACAATTGTGAGTGCCAGTGAATGCTGACTCTAAGTGAGGAAAAGCAATGGTCCCGACTGAACCAGCTTGGGAGAAATGGTTGGTGGGGAAAAACTAGGTAGTGGGGGCGGTAGTGGCGTGACTGATATCCGGGTGGGTGACAGTGAGTGAGCTCAGTTCAGTAGGAGGGTAAAAATAGATAGAGTGGGAGAACGAAAACATAGAACTAATTTATATCAAGGGAAACAATAGCAAACTAAAAAGAGAAGAAAAAGACATTTAGAGAGAGGAACCAAGGAGGGGGATCCTGAGTTAAAATAAGTTTTCAATTAGTAATAATCGCGCCTCGGATAAACCTCACTGGCTACGATACTGCCACTGCACAAAGCTCTGAGTTAAAATAAGAAAAAAGTAAAAATAGACCATCTTTTACCCCAGAATGGGGTGAGAGGAAGCAGAAATGATATCATAACATCATTCTGCACCAAAATATTTGTCAGGAAAGAAGGCCCTCAGCCTGAGCTCTAGATAAAAATGGGAGCCCTTGACCTGTAGCTGCTAAGCAGCAGCTTCATCTCCAGAAGGACAGGAAAGACCAAGCAGAGGAACAGTCCACCTGTAATGGGCAGAGAATATCGACGGGGCTGGCCTCCCACCAGAGGGACTCTGGCCGGAGAAAAAGATGGTGGGAGAGGAGCAGTCTGACCTGCACAGAACAGTCACGGGGAGAAAAGTGGTGGCAACTCTGGAAGATGATTAATGGGGGCATGTGAATGGAAACTATTTTAACACATGGACAAGTATTCTTTTCATTGTGATTTGTGATGTGAATCAAGGCATTTCAACCCTTGAAGTGCTCTCATTGGTCCTTTTAATACTAATGTAGCAGTAATAATTTTATGTGACATGTGAAAAGACCTTAGGTTTCCTGGGAATAATGGTAATGTAGCTAAGACCAGACCTGGATTCATCCATAATTCAGTAGTTTTTGGAGGAGGAAATCTGATTATTAGTAGATTAAGGAGTCTGGCTATACCTGGGATAAATACACAATACTTTTCTTTTTTCATTTTCTTTTATTTTTAGTTACATACTAAGGGGCAAGGGAGAAAAAGAAAGCCTGTCTAACAAGGCTCCTCCACTTTCCTGTGCCTAGTGCTTGTTCCGAAGACAAGCACTTGGCTCGCGAGTGAAACGTTTTTACAGATAACATGTGAAACCACAGCTTTGAATCATTTCCAACTGTGTCTTTTTGTTGGCTCCGGCTTACTTTAGCTACTTACGCTGGACTGTCACAGTGTCTTAGGGATGAGGAGACGCCTCCCCCGCAGGTCCTGCTGCACTCGCCCCAGAGTGACCAGGCACCCCAGCCCCCATCTATGCTCTGGGGCCAAGTGCCAAAAGCAACACAATCTCCCTGATAACACCACTGCAAGATTTCACAGAAAACACAGAATTAGCTTTCAGGCAGATAGAGCTATCGGAATAGAAATACATAAGGATCAGGCAATGACCAATTACAGGCATTAGCATTCTCCCCACAGATAACAGACTGAGAGTTCTTTAACTGTGTTTACACATTGGTGATGGTGCATGTGATTTGCAAATTATCTTTAGCTCAGAAGTGATTTATAAATCTCTAACATGTACCAGGAGTCTAAAAAACTCCTTATTTTGCCTACTTCAGACTTTTAGTGTTTCTCAATTACAGAGACCTCAAAAGTCTTTTTTAGATATTTTAGTATTAAAAATTTTTTTCTTTATATTCCACTATTATTAGACTCGTGGAATGATAACGCAATATGGAAAGTTCCCCAGTAAGGAATTTTTATGATGGTAATTGCTTTTTCTTTTAAAAAAAATAAAAAGGCTGGTTGAGGCTACAATAGTAAAAGAATGTGTTGAGGCATTTCATCTACACGAGTACTGCAGACATAATAAAAGTAATGCCAAGACACTAGGGACTGGGTACAAAAAAACCCTTATATACCCTGACTAGCCATGTGTACAGCCCCTGCATGAACATGTGTACTGGAATTCTTCTCAGCTTTACTCTCTGCAATAAACCACACATACTGCACATAAGTAGAAAGCCAGGAATAATTTATCGAGATGCAGACATCAAATAATCAGCTCATAACTCTAACATGATAAATCTTACTTGCAGAATATGGTAAAAATGAAAGCTTTTTTTAAAAAACAAACAAAACAAGCATTTCTAGGCTTTTACTGGTGCATTTTTGTGAATTACCATCAAATGTTGATGAACCATACCAATGCTATGAAAGTCATTTGTTTATACGAATAACAATAGGCAATATTACAGTTGAGTAATTGTCAGCAATGTCAAAATTGCTAATAAAAATTCAACCTTATATTAAAATGTAGAGGGATTATGACATGTGATGTTTAGAAAGTAATCATTTTATTATACTAATTCTATATGACCAGAATTTTTTCACTTTTCACCTTTTTCACTGTTACCTCCTGGCAAATGGAATAGCTTCTTACCTGGTCTCCCTATCTCCACTGTTTTCTACCTATAATCAATCTGTTCTCCAGGAAGCATTCAGAGACGTCGTTTAAAAACAATGATGACATCATGTCTCTTTTTTGCTTAGAAGACTCTGGTGTTTCCTACTGCCCTTAGCACTGGTCAGCAGTGGCCGGTGGGAACTACCCCTGCACCCTTCTCCCAGCCTTACTCTCTCCCAGATTGCCCCAGACACACTGGACTTCTTTCCTTCCCACAAACACTAAACTTGTTCCCTCCATAGGGCACTTGCATCCGCTGGTCCTTCTGGGAATACTCTTCTCAGGATTCCTTATATCCGCTGTCTTCTTATCATTCAGTCCCAGGTCAAGGGTCATGTCCTTGACCACCCCTATCCTGAACACTTTCTGCGCTCCCCTTCCCTAACTCCAGTGTGTAACAGTTTTAGTTTAACACTACTCTACATTACACTGTTTATTTTTCAAATTACTTCATTACTGTTTGTCTCCTCTCATTAGTATATAAAAGCCTTAAGTGCCACAGGGGGCTATTTAAATTTAAATTAATTAATACTAAAACTTCAGTTCCTCATACACACTAGGTACATTTTCAGGGCATCATAGGCCATGTGTGCGGTGATGGTGTGGGACAGAGCAGATCTAGCACACGTCTGTCACCACAGAATGTCCCATTCATTAGATGTGCTGAATGCCTAGGACAGTGCTTACTTAGCATGGAGTAGATAAGCACAAAAATTCATTGAATGAATTAATACATTAGTTCAGTTTTAGAATTCTGTGTCCTGTTTTGGTTGCTACATGTCAGGAAGGAACTGGAAATACTGGAGAGTAAAGAAAGTCAAATTTATCTTTGTTTCCCTGGTAGTTAGCACTCAGTAAATGTTTTAGTAGTTATAACAACATAAAAGACTTTTTAGAGAAGTGCTAAGCAATGATCATTTGTCCATAAAAAAATTGGGCAAGAGGAAGTCCAATTTTGGTTGGCTATAAGGCAGAACATTCTGAGCCTTAATCCAACAAATATTAAAGTAGGACATTAAGAAGATTATGAGTTTTGACAATGAAAATTACCATAAAAATTATCTGTCCCAAAGATGAAGCAGAAGTAGTTGGCTGAACCCATATAATACAGTATCAACTCTGGGAGTAGGGCTGCTGATAATGTACATTTGAAAGGGAGAGAATGTTCCAGCTGCCAGTTCATGACTTAATTGATGTTGAAGACCAACCAATTGTATGATAATTGTGTCAGACCTTCACCTTTATAAAAGTCACAATATTGGACCAAATAATTTCCAATTTTACATTTTTGTTATTAGGAGTACCTGTGTGTAAGAATGTCTATGCCTGTGCCTATTTTTTTTTTCCTATGAGAATAACTGAGCAAAGTAGTTTTGACCAGTCATACTGATTTGGGCCGTGTCAATGAATGACTATACTTCTAAGAACTCCAAATCTTAAAATTTGTCTACTTTTTCAAGTTGGAAATCTATCTAACATTATTGATTTCAAATGACACTAAAGCTTGTTTTTATATTTTATAAAACCACAGAGCTGCATCTAAAGCCCAAAGGGACTTAAGCATTCACGTGATCCAAGCACTTCATTTTTCAGATGAGGAAACCAGAACCTACAGCAGGTTGACTTGCCCAAGGTCAGTTACTGGCAGAAAGGAAGGGATTATCTGTCTAAAAATATACAAAAATCAGTGGAAAAAGATCTATTGGAGACATTAAGTAATATTCTAATGTATTTTATGGGACTGTATTTACTACATAAAATACAAAATAACACTAGAGACTACCAAAAAATCCATTTAGCTGTAAGTGCACACCCATATGTTATTTCAGACCTCCTTGAGTATTCTGATAATTGGTAGAGAAAAAAATTCACTCTGCGTTTTTCAGGGGCCAAAGGAATTATGAAGGCCATCAGAACACTGACAGATGTAGGTTCCCAAGTATTTAATAACATTGTTGTATGTTTCCTGGAGACTCACAAAGTGGAGGACAGGGAAAGAAGTCAAATAAGTTCTGTTGTTTTCCTTTTGAAACTTATCCTTAAGGTAAAAGATAAACCCAATACAGTATTCTGTTTACAAAATGTTGCTCAATTCTCATGACCATCTAACACCTACACAGCAGTAGTATTTCATAACTGGTATGTGAAAATGTTTTACTGCATAAATTCATACTATTGATGATATATATTCCATGAAGTTATAACATAAGAGACAATTATATGAGAAAGCTAGTCCTTCCTTTCTTGCTCCCTGGCCCTCTTGGAGGTTATACTTGGTTGGGGTCTATCCTGCACCTAAGGCAGGAAGATGGTGGCTGCAAAGAAGATGAAAAAGTCGAGGGAGTTGATCAACTCTAGACTCCACCTTGTTATGAAAAGTAGAAAGTACATGCTGGTGCATAAGCAGACTCAGAAGCTGACCGGACAATGCAAAGCCAAACTGGTCATCCTCACCAACAGCAGTCCAGTCTTGAGGAAATCTGAAATAGTGTACTATGCCATTTTAGCCAAGACTGGTGTTCATCACTACGGTGGCAATGATACTGACTTGGGCACAGTGTGTGGAAAATACTACAGAGTGTGCACACTGGCTGTCACTGATCCAGGTGATTCTGATATTATCAGAAGCATGCCAGAACAGACTGGTGAAAAGTAAATCATGCAAAAGTTTTCTTTAATAAAACTGGCCAGAGCTTGGTTTAAGAAAAAAAGAAAAATAACAAAGATCAATGGGTAAAAAATAAAGAATTTATAATAACACTTTTATTCATCTACCAATTGACAAGAAGCTAGTGTCCAGTTTAACAGCTAACTAATAACTTGGCTTACTAGTTAACAAATTAACAACTTCAAGCTGTGTGTAGTCTGGGTTGTAAACCTGAGTTCTCATTCTAACAATACCTTTGGTCTAAAGCAAGTCATTTATTTCTCTTCTTTAGTTTCCCTAACTATAAAATAGGGACTAACTTTAGTTTTCAATTCCAATATGGTTTGGATTAGGGCAACTTTAGACATTATTTCTACACAGACATACCTCCAGAGAGGTTAAAAACCTATCAAAGGACTTGTTTGATTTTGCTCTCTGGCAAAATGTTCTTTTGTGTTTTGTTCAGCTTTCCTACCATGTCTTTATAAGAATGGATCTCTTTGGAATTCTTGCTACTTTGCTCCTCTGGCAGTAGTAAGTATCTTGATGTAGCACATGATTTTAACAGAAGAAACTTATTTCACTTCATAATAACTGCTTGAAGAAATCCATGAAGGACCTCTTGGGGAGCAAGTTATTTGAGCTAATTTTCTAGATGATTATATGAATCAATATATACTGACTTTAATATGTCATAAATAATATAATTAGATTATATCAAATATAGTAACTTGGAGTATATAAATCATATAAATTCATAAAGGTGAGAATTTTGAGTATTATATTTTCTATTTTTATCCTTTTTTTGGGCCCAAAATTTCCAAACCTTTAAAAGCTCTATTTCCATAGGCATAGAATTTTACTTCTTTTCTTAAAAGTAGAAGAGTTAAATCTTCAGATGGGAACAAGTTTCTAATCTTTATTCTCAAAGGTTATAGTTAATCTAGTGATGTATTCTAAATATCAGTCATGTTACTTCAGCCCAAATTACCCAAGTAAATTGGATAAATTTGCCTTCTATTTGCTAATTCAAGTGTTTAACTAGATTTAGAAAGATGAAAAGTAAAACTATCACATTCCAAGAATAAAATCTCAGATTGTTCATTCTTGCTTTTCATATTTCTTCTAAGTAAAACAAATATATTTTAAAATGACCTAGAAAGACAATATATTCCAGGGAAGCTTTAAAAGTTTTCTTAAGAAACAATTATTAAGCAATATCTCTTGCTTTTAGACCACTGAATTTCATGATCCACATCAGGAAATTATCTTACCAAGATACATTATAAATCAACAAATCTAACTTTGAGAATTTGTCAGAATTCCACAAAAATTTTTCAAGATGAGTATACTTTAAAAATATGTTTTAATTTTAAATATTTAAAACATACATATTTTTTAACTAGAGTCACTCTAGGATGTGATTGTACCACAGATCTTGTATCATCGCCAGCACTAGGTCCAGCCAGCATCTGGAATGAGACCTCTAAGGAAACCCTAAGATTGTAAAGGAAGTGATACTGGTGATTCAATATAAAACATTCTTCCCAAGTCAGGAAAGCTAAAAGTTGTTGGAGCACAGCACTATTAAAAGCCTTATCTTTCCACTCTGCAGGTGTGGGAATGCTGAGGCTTATTTCAGCCCAAATTCTAAATCAGAACTTGTCATCCCATACTATCTAAATTCCTAGAGCAATTGGAATAGCTATTCTTTTCTTTACTTTCTGTGTTTGGGACCCAGTCAAAACATGTTATATTCTACTCTGAGATCCAAGACTGCTAATGTCCTATTATATCCCGTGCCTTAGAAGGGCATATAATAACCTTACACTGATCCAGCCCTGTGCATCCCATACAAAGATATTGGGAACCAATATCATATACACGTTAAGTCCAAATGCTGTGCTATATCTCTAATTGGGTCTTATAGAATCATTAAATCAATCTTCTGGCAACAAACCAAGTATTTGAAACTTTCTTTGTGGTCACCATCAGAGCTTGCAAGGACTGGGTTTTCATCATCCTTAATACCCTGTTCAGTGACAATGCCAACACTGGTATCGAAGTTTTTACAGTCTAAACCTTTGTTTGCTATGTCATCAAATATGGCATCCCTTCGATGCCTGTCCAAAGTGTTGTTGCTGATGCCATGTCTAAAGAAAGTTTTTTTGGCTTAAAGTTATATTGATTGATTTGTAGGGGCCTGACCCATGGACGCACCATACCAACCAGAGCACTGTCTGGGCTCATCAAATTTCCCCCTTTGGTTAATGCTACTGTCCCTAAGCACATCCATTCAGACCATATGGTTCTTATTCAATCTTTGAATGGCTTATTCAGGCAAACATCCAATGGCTGTAATAGCGATGTCAGACCCCCCAGGACTCACACAAAGATCAGTTTTTAATTTTTTGGCCATATTTCTTACTCCATCTGCTAAATGTGCATGGAACAGTTCCCATACTTACATGGAACATTTGTGGAACTGCGCCCTCGGGCAGGGATCCCACAGCTTTTGCAGCCAGAGTTTGACGAGATCATTGTGGATCCAGTGCTCTGGATATGTCTATGCTATCACTTTAGCAATACTTCTCCCTCCTCCATTTAAAAGAGAATTTACTCAAAAAACTATGAGTAGCTTTGGTTTTATCCTCCTGGCTAGACAGGATGTAGGTACTTTCTTGGCTCTTCTGATGAGAGTAGTTTTGAAATTTTGAGTTAAGAACAAAAGTCATGTATATTCCATTCATGTTTCTGAGGCACACAAATTCATGCTTACACTCTCTGATGCGTGTTACTCCCAGTTAAGACAGCCTGACAAAACATTTTCTGCCCACAATTGTCTAAGGTTAGCAAATAATAATCAAAAGTAATGGTGATGCTCTAGTAATATATACTAGCACCCTCCCTCCACAGAATTCCATAAACAGTCCTCTGAAGTATTATCGCATTTCATCCTCACAACATCTTTATGAAACATGTAGAAATAGGTTTTCCCTAATGGTAAATCTACTTAGTATTAAAGAGTAAAATACATAGTCACCACCAGTCTCAAGCTCAGTGGTTCACTTTATTACTGGGACAATGAAAGTTTGCTTTTTTCTCTATGAAATTTCCCATCTAAAGGTAAAATGCAATCAGAGGCAATATAGAGGGGCAAAGTTTTCAGCTTTGGAACTAGAACGACCTGGGCAGACCCTCTCAGCTCTGTTATTGAACTGCTGTGTAATCGTAGGCTTTCAGGTTTTACTTTCCTCATCTGTAAAATGGACTTAAAACAGCATCCACCTCCCTGGACTTTTGTCACTTGATTATTAAACAGAAAAAATATGTGCCTGGCACAGTGTAAGTACTTTAAAAATATTCATTATCAGCATAATTGTTATTGGGATGCCAACTATTTTTAGATGGCAGGAATACAGACTTGTCACACAAAGTTGACCTAACCAACTGAAAATTCCACTTTAATTTAGTCCTTAGCTCTGTGCATGGTTTTTTTTCTTTAATTTGAGTCAAAATGCTGAACTCTAGCTTAATTTCCAGATAGATATAGCTTGAAGGTAGAAATCTGCAATTTGGTAACAATAAACATATTTTTCTTTTAACAAAAAATTAACTAAAATCAACAACAAATATTCATAAAAAGATAATATGACAAATGCAGGTACTAAAAAATTAATTAAGAACTGCTCAGCTCCCATGTCTAGCCCTTTGCATTTTCTTTCTCCTTAAAAATGCAGGTCAATTGTCAATCTAGTTCTTTAAAAACCTATTCTTAAATTCAAAGCTAATGACAGGAATATAGTTAGAGTCTTTTCGTAGTGTGCTGTTCTTTCTCTTTCTAAGAGTCTATGTGTGTGTGTCTTCATTCATTTTAAGACTTCTTAGTGTCAATTTCAAAGCTGCCTATACACCTTTCATATCTCTGGAAGCATGGCTAAAATTTTTGTTTTGTAGAATAATTTTAGAAGGTAAAATCTAACATATTGATTCTATGAAACTAAATAATATTGTGAATATGAACTACGTCTTCGTATACAAGCTTTGCTACACTTACAAGGTTTTAAAATAGATATTCATGAAATCCAAGATGCTCTGTTGAAGTATGTCAGAAGTTGACAGGGTAAGGAGGCAGACAAGGGATTCTTTTAACCAGATCACTTCCATTTTTTTATATGTATATATGAGAATTATGTAGACTTCATGTGAAAAAAACTGGTTAGGTATCAAAAAGTTGACAACCAACCTAAACTGAAAATGTGAATCTTTAGAAATCAAATATATTTTTCCCATTTTATTCACTTTTTATTGGTGCTTATTCTTATTTATGCTTAGAAGAATTACATTTCCCTTCTATTTGTTTATCTAAATTTAAATTCAATACTGTTAGCTTTAATATTATTGAGAGTATCTTCTAAATATACCTCAAAATTATCTGTAATTTTTAAGAAATATGTCATCTCTATCACAGAAATGCAGATACCTATCAGACATGACATTTGAGGGCCTTGCAATTAAGCACAAAGGATAAGATACTAAGCATGTGTTTACTATATAAATGGTTAGTGGGGTTGAACTATGTGTTCTCAAATAGCCACTACTTGTGATTTACTTATTTGGAGTGATTATAAAATTTATAGAATGCTTTAAGAGGGCTCTGAGATATTTAAAAGAATGAATTTTTTAATGTTGTAAGTTCAAAAATAAAGTCAAGTAAAAAGAGCCATCACGCCTAGTGATAGCAGTATTCTGAGCAAATAGAAACTGGCCCATAGACTAGAGTGCAAGAATAATAATCAATGGCAAGTAAAGAAACAGATTCTCACTGTGACTTCCCCCCTTACAATTGTGTATTTTTTCTAAGTACAGATTGATTTAAATTGCTACTTGTCGTTGACAAGAATTGTTGGTTCCAAGATAAACCTAGACTGTTGTTTCAAGAATGCAGTTCCTAATATTTTCTATTACTTTGGTGAAAAAAAAAGAAGGAATTTTTGGTAGTGTGTGAA